GCACCTCCCCTGAACAGGTTTAACTTATGGCCTGGGTATCGCTGGGATGGAGTGGACAGGTAGGCATTCCTCATCGGTTTGTATTGCACCTAGCATGGTGGTGGAGGTAATAGATGGGCTTCTGCCCTGAAGAGCTTACCCTTAGCTCCAGGGGTAACGCAGACAAAGGCATGGGGGAAGTATGCTGTACTGCCCGCACACAAAGGCGTTTTCACACAGTCTCTTGGCTTACTGAGCTTCCAAACCTTTTTTTTAAATGATGTGACTTTCATGCCAGAGTGAGGTGCTGGCTCGACACCCCAGAAGACCAGAGTCCTCTGTTGACCAGCGCACTGGGAGCAGCACTGCAGGCTTCTCGTTAGAGCTGCTTGCATTTTGGGGGGGTGAAAATGGCTTGTCAGTGGTACTGGAATGTTTGTGTTTGCAATTTGACAAATAGTTGGTCAAATTGAAATGACAAATTATTGGGTTTCAGTTTTTTTCAGGTGCCTGCCCCCTCCTCTTTTCCCCTTTCCCATCCTCCCTCTCTTTTTTTCCAGTGAGGTGGGAGGAGGGCCCCAACTGCTCTTTTTTGTATTGAATATAAACCATTTTTTAATTTGTTTGATGAAAAATCAAAAACTTCCATGAAATGTTTTTAATTTTTCACAGAAAATACTTGCCCTTTTCTCATCATCTGTGCTTCCCGCACCCTGCTCTCTCCCCTTGCTAATATGCCTCAGTGCTGACATTTGCAGACCCTTGCTATGGTGGGCTGGGAGACCTATCTCCATAGTTTGCCTGTCTTGCCAATGTGGGGATACGTGGCCTTTGCAGTCGGGACATCTATCATTAAAAACTGGAAGGAGACCCACCTAATTTGCTGTACAGTGGCCACTGAACTGCCACCAGATGGCACCAGCTGTTGTTAACTACAGATGGGGCTGAAACTGAGCCAGCAATCTAGAAATGGAAGGGAGCTTGAGCCATCTGGTCGTTCCAGAAGGTTTCATTTCTCAGAAATGGCTTGGTAAAGTATATTGTGCACCAACCCACACTCTTGTTGATATTATTTTGTAGGTCCAATGGGTTCGAACAGAAGCGCTTTGCCAGGCTAGCCAGCAAGAAGGCAGTCCAGGAGCTTGCATATAAGTGGAGTGTTGAGGACATGTAAACAAAAGAGAAAACCAAATGGAAGACCGCTCCTGGCTCCCCTTCGGGGAGGAAGTGAGACCCCAGTACACCCTAATGACATTGCAAGAGCTGTAAGGAATGGCTCATTCTTCCTTGAACACCTCTTCTTTAACACGTTAGCATTCAGTGTTAAAATGGACTACCTGGGGGTGAGAAGGCTGCCTCTAAAGGAAAGTTCAAGATGCTCCTGGAAGAGGATGAAAACAGGTCACTCTCTCCAGTCAGGCAGAGAGGAGAAGGCGGGAAACGTTGGGTCCCTTGAGCACAGAGAAGAACTCCTACAGCTTTACTGCGAGCAGCCAGAAAGTGCAGTATCCAGCTACCTGCAGCAGCAGTTCTGCTCTCTTGGACCTGCTGTGAGATGCAGAAGAGACACCAGTTTCTGGCGTTAATATTTTTTTAACAAATTATATGTAAATACATTTGTAATCCTATTTTCAGCCAAACTCTTGGTTCCCTGGAGGTGTTTTTGGGATCTGCTGATTGTCAGTTGTGTCCCAAATCTCAGGTGCTTCTCTGGGGTGCGGAGAGGATTAAAGAAAACTCATTCAGAGAATAATTATGCTTGTGTGTTGAGATTGTAAACTGAAAGTTGAGATTTCAGCGGTGGGGAGCTCAATAGGGGTTTGTAGGCAGTGGTGGCAGCTTGGGCTTTAATACCATCAGCTGGCTTGTTGCTGTTGCGCCCCAGCAAGTCTGCCTGATGTCATTGCTAAGGAGCCTGAAGTGGCTCTTCTGTCCTGCAATGTGGATTCCCCGACTGGCCGTGAAAGCCCCTCCTGTTCCTCGTTCTGAGCTACGCTAAGTAGACGAATATTTCCTACAATGCCTGGCTCCATATGGTGGAACATCACTGTCTGGTCCCTTCCTAAACGGGGTGTGGAGGAGAAACTCTTTTGTTGTATTTGACAACAAACCCATCCTGGCTAGAAGCTCTGGCAGCTGGTCTGGGTTAACTGCTTATGGAAAGATGCAGCTAATGGTGGGTTTAAATGTACTACCCTGAATGGGATTTTTATTTTGAGCATCTGATGGCAAGGGGTTGGTCTCTATCAAGAGGTCTGACAGTGCCAAGCTAGCTTGGCAGTTGCCTAGTCACAGCATTGCTGTCTGTATGTTTGTTTAAACCTGAAATCTAACTTTCAGAAAAGATGACTGCTCTGCCAAGACTCTGAGCCACTGCTAAGGTAGAGACAATGTGGCCTGGTCCCTCAATGTGTTGAGAAAGTACCTCTGATCTCAAAGGCAGTTGGAGTTTTCTCTTTCTTTACTTTGCAGAGAGAAGGTGTTGAAAGCCCCAGCTGTTTCCATGGAAGGTCCTTGCCTTAGTAGCAGTCTGGGTCTTGGGATAGGAATTAGGTTCCCATGGTTCTTATGCTGCATGAGGGTGTGGGGTGGGAAGTATAGTGTAAAGGTTTTCTTAGGAAATGTGATTCTTGGAGTAGTGCTTTCTCCCCGTCGAAAGGTGATGCTCCTTTTTTATTTAACAGGTTAAGTTTTTAACAGTCCTGTAACCTGGATGAAAAATTGTAAATAATAATGTTTTTTAGCTGGCTCTGTGTGTGGTGTGGTTTTTTTAAACATACAGTGGGGTTTAAGTTGGCATAAGTGTGTCTCAGGGGTGTGGATTTTTCACAGCCCTGAGACAAGTAGCTCTACTGATTTAAGTTCCTCGTGAAGACCAGCTCCAAACACAAATACATGTGTAGGATAAACTTATGCATCGGGCAGATATTATAATCTTTCACTACTGTTATTTGAATTGATGATAAAAAATTAACCCTTGGATTTTTTAAGTCAATGTAAGTTGTAGGCCTTTGCCCTCTTGAGATAGATGTATGTGTGATGGGTTGGATCATAGAACCCCCCCTTGGGAGCTGCCATCCAATGTGCCATGACTACTACTACTACTACTAGTACCACCACCCCTGCTTTCCCTGCCAGCTCAAGACTCCAGCACCCTGTCTTGCTGAGCCAGACACACCCATCTGCTCCAACAAAGACCCAGGGTCTGAATTACTTGCCCCAAAGCTGCAAGTTTACCTGAAAGCAGCTAACAGAAGTGTTCCTGTCTAACACGCAGGTGCCCAACTCCCAATGGGGTCTAAACCCAAATAAATTCATTTTACCCTGTATAAAGCTTATGCAGGGTAAACTCAAATTGTTTGCCCTCTAACACACTGATGGAGAGAGATGCACAGTTGTTTGCTCTCCCAGGTATTAATACATACTCTGAGTTAATAAATAAGTAAAAAGTGATTTTATTAAATACAGAAAGTAGGATTTAAGTGGTTCCAAGTAGTAACAGACAGAACAAAGTAAGTCACCAAGCAAAATAAAATGAAATGTGCAAATCTATGTCTAATCAAACTGAATAAGATCCTCACCAGTTCCAGAATGCTCCCTTTTACAGGCAAATCTCCTTTTAGCCTGGGTCCAGCAATCACTCACACCCCTTGCACACTGTCCTTTGTTCCAGTTTCTTTCAAGTGTCGTGAAGGGTGGAGAGGCTCTTTCTTTAGCCAGCCAAAGACAAAATGGAGGGGTCTCCCAGGTGTTTAAATAGACTCTTGTGGGTGGAGACCCCCCTCCTCACTCCTATGCAAAGTCCAGCTCCAAGATGGAGTTTAGGAGTCACCTGGGCAAGTCACATGTCCCTGCATGACTCAGTTTTTACAGGTAGCATCCATTGTTTATATGCTACCTTGAATGTCCTCAAGTAGACATCTTATGTGGATTGGAGCATTCCAAGATCCATTGTCCTTTAAGTGTTTCTTGATTAGGTACTTAATTTCAACATTCCTTTCTCCAGGAATGGACCAAATGCTCTACTAAGGTTATTTAGAAGATCAAGCCAGTACACAGCCAACATTCATAACGTTGAATACAAAAATGATATATGCATACAAATAGGATTAATACATTCAGTAGATCATAACCTTTACGAATATATGTTACATGGCATATGTAGCATAAAAACACATTCTAAGCATATTTCCATAAAGCCTTATGGGAGGTACATTATGTAAATATACTTTTGTTTTTGTCATCTGATTTTTCTGATAAGTCACGTGCTGCTGGTGCTCCTCTGTTACTCCAGCCTTGCAGAAAACTACTGTCTGGGATTTTTCAGATAGAGAGGAAGTTGGAAACACTCCTTTTGCTGAGGAATGCACATCCGTCTAATCAGGACTATTTAAGTGCTAACACTAAGCACAAGCAATTTTTATTATCTTTAAAATAAAATGCAAAATAATAGACTAATGCACTCTGAAAGCTAGTGTTAAAATATTAACGGTAGCATTCCTACAGAATCCTTAAACAAACAGGAAATACAATGAAATTAGGTACAATTATTGAATATTTCAATAGCTATTACATTTTGTATTGCTGTAACTTAAACAAATACCACATCCATGCACAACACCCAAATTAACGGCAACTATTCTAGGGTGTGTCTGCACTGTGATTGCTTACCCACGCTAGCTTGAATCTCACTAACCTGGCTAAAAGGCAGTGAAGACATGCAGGCTGTACAAGCCTGCCGAGAACCCTTGGTATGTACTTGGGTTCCTATTCTGTGCTGCTGCATCTTTGTTTTTAGCCATGGTAGCTAGATTAAAGTTAGCGTGAGTACTTCTGTGCAAGCTGCAATCACACCTCTGCAGTGTAGGCATACTCAAGTTTCAGAGATTTTAGATGCCATTTTAATGTTGCTAAGATGCACAAAAAACAGTTTATCAAATTGTCTAGTTAGTAATTGTTTGCCCATTAGCATCCTGGGGACAGAGTTGATTTGGCTGAGGGACCTGGATCCACACTGCATATCAGGCTTTAACGGGCACAAGAGAATTCATTGTTTCTCTTCCCTGCTGCTGTTGCTGGATCAAGTACATTTGCAAACGACAGACTGGGAGTGGGATTGGCCTGAAAAAGAAAGTGTTGAGAACCCAGTTGTGTGTCTGACTGGTACCACCGGAGCCGTAGTTGCATGGCAGCAATCAGAATGCTGCCATGGCCTGCCTGGACTCGATCACCAAAAGAGAAAGAAGCTGTACCTGTAAGACTCCCTATGGATGGTGGAGAAATCCTGCTTTCCCTGTGCTCGGATGGGTTTCTGCTCTGGTTTGCAGTTCTTCACCTTCTCCGCTCTCTGGGGCTGGAACGTGCTGTGTGTGGTAGTTTGGCTTTCAAACTTGGCCTAGAAATCCAAACAGTCACAGAGTTCAGTCCCTTTTTTTGGTATTTTACACTGCAAGGTGTTGGGAGACGCTATCAAAGCGCCCCCTGCCCCAGCCATGCCTACATTAAACATGAGCCAACTGCTAACTAGAGATAGCAGCAATCTGTCAGCTTCCTTTCCATTCTGCATGCGGACCAGAGGTAATTACATTTGAAAAAGAAAGAACTGGAGAAAGATAGGAAATTGCTTTTAGGAAATATTAAAATGTGTTAGCAAGGAAGTGGGGTTTTTCCCCTGTTGTTGCCACGATTAGTTGTAGATGCTCTGTCACTGCCAATGTAAAAGAACAGATGAGATAAGGCACTTGTAAATATACAATAGGGCTGTGCAAGGGGCAGACAGACATGGCCTGTTTGGACTCTGCCGTCTGTTTCTGGATATCCCTGAACGCTGTTTGCTAGGGGGTCTGGGACATAAGGTAGCATGTGTGTGCTGCCAGGGGAGCATTCAAAATACCCAGGTTTAACTTGGTGAACGTTAGTCTAAGGGCTGCTTTCCTCCACCTGTTGCTGTCTCAGCTGTGCCCCTCCTGGGGGGAGCAGTAGAGGACCCTACACTGGCTGGTGGCAGCAGCAGCAGTAGGGTGCCCAGCTCCAGCCTCCCCCCGCCGCCCCCACTACACATTGCAGCAAGAGGGCTGTCTTTGTTCTGGTCATTGTTTCCTCACTGGAGGTTTGCTCCAAGCTCCTGTTCCCCTCCCTCATTCCCTGCCCACCAGCTTCCTCTCCCTACACATCTTTGCCCTGGGTAACAACTCCCTCACCTCCCATCATGTTAGTGCCACACGTCTTCTTTAAAAGGTGATACCTGCATCCATCATGCTGCCTGTCTCTCAAATCCCCCTCTCCCCATGTGTCTATTCAGATAATAAACTCTGCAGGGCAGGGACTGCATGCCTGGGGAGTCCATGCAGCACCTGTCATGGTACGACCCTGACTGAAATAGGAGTTGGCGGCTGTTCTCTCAAGCACATTATCATTCATGGGACAGTGGCCTCTGTCTTTATGGTACCCTGTGGAATTTGTCTGGTGTACAAGGCTGTGCTGAGGCTCTTGGATGCATTCCGCTTTCACAGGACCGTCTGTGTTGTATGAGGGTGCCAGCCATGGGCAGCCTGTTAGCAGGAGTGGTCTCCTGCCCCCATTGTATTACCAGAGGTTGGATGTAGACTCCATCGTGGGGGTCACCTTGCCGGATCCGGGGCTGGACTCTCCACTCTCTGAAGAAGAACTTGTGGGCTGTGGAATCGTCAAACTTTGCAGGGAGGGATCTCGACACTGTGGGGGGCCACTGGATAGTCCCCGGAGGCCTGTCCAAGGGCAGAGGAGGGTAAGAGAGCTGGAAAGAGACACGAGAGGGTCAGAACAACCACAAGCTCTTTATAGCACTTTTCACTTCTAGATTGCAAAGAGGCAGGGCCAGATTTTCAAACGAGTTTTGCACCTTGTAGCTCCCATCGAGAACACTGCAGAGTTCTCTTTTTTAAAAAGTCTGTCCCTTGGTACGTAGAGAACGTGGCGGCGGGAAATGCTGCTTGCTGTTCCAGCCGTGGAGCTGGGAGTGGAATGGCCGAGTGCAAGATTTACACCAATGGTTTATTACTGGGTCACAATGACACCAGGGGAAGAGGGAGCCAGCCCATTTCTGCCATGCAGGGACAGGACAAAACCGTGGACAGTGACACTGATACTGATACCTAGGGGCGGGGGTTCAGGCAGGGTTCCCTCCGTCTCATTTTTTCTTTAGCTTCCTTTCCCCCTCTCCTCCCCCCGCCCCCCCCCAGTCAGGATCACTGCAATAGGGGATTCTCTGTCCATGCTACACAAAGCAACCACTGCACCCCCACCATGAAAGCCAAGGGGTGCCCAGATACTGGCCCCACCTCACCCTGCACCCTGTTTTAGAGTTACTGACTTATTGAATGAATGCAGAATATAAATATCCTGAACTTCTGCCATGGCTTGTCCAAGAATCTCCAAGCAATTCATCAATGGGAACTGCGTGGCCCACACCCCTTTATCCTTTTACAAACACGGGCTAATTAAGGAGGAGATTTTCAAAGCCTCCCAGCCTATGGGGCAAAGGAGTGTTACTGTTCCCATTTTACAGCCAGGAGGGGAAGAAACTTGCCCAAGGTCACAAAACAAGGCAGTGGCAGAGCTGGGAATTAACCTAGGCACCCTGACTCCTAGGCCTTGTGCTCTACTCACTAGATTTATTCCCACTGTGTGAGTGAGAATCTTCATTCATTCACTGAAATTAAATTGTGCTTAGAGTCCCTTTATCTCCATTTAACCCCCCTCTCCTTCCCTTCCCATTACCTTGGTCACCGTGTCTCCACTGACTTTTCCATCCCTCTCTTTCCCCAAGTCTGCCAGCTCCTCTTTCAGCTTGATGGGGCTGGCACGAGGGTATCTGCGGGTGTCCCAGCCATGGTAGCTTTCCCTCTGCACCGTCTGAAAATCTGTGCTGGGTGGAAGAGGGATACACTTCAGCGGCGAGGTGAATCAGGTGTTTTAGAGCTTTGCACCACCAGCCATCACTGCAGCATCTCCTGCGTTTTATTCGTGGCCCTGCCGAGGACTCTCTGTGCATCCTCAGGCAAGTCACTTCATCGCTCCATGCCTTAGTTTCCCCATCTGTAAAACGGGGTCAACACTGAGCTACTGCGTTTGGTAAGCGTGTGCGTTAATATCAGTGAATGTCTGCCTGCTGGGCACCGTTCACCTGAGGATCTCAAAGCCCTTGGCAATGTTGTTTATAGGAACAAAATCATGTTTCCTTCCTCTTCCCAAAACTTGTTGCTGGGGTTGGATGCAGCCTTCCTCAGACTGTGAGGAGGGGAAGGCCCTTGTGCTAACTCTCTATTAAAGGCTCCGCTCACCTGCTCTGCTGTCCCAGGGATCCACAGCCCCCTTGCTACAATGCTGAGGCAACCCCCTTGTCCGGCCTGGAGTTTGCCCATTCCAAGCCCTGCCCAGGGGGGTTACTTGATGGCTGCACTCACCTGAAGCCCTGGTTGATTGCCAGGTTGTCCAGAGGAGGCTGAGCAGGCCGAATCCGTGCAGGTAACAAGCTGCATGCTGCGAAATCACTCTGGTACTTGGTCATGTATTCCACCTGGGCTCGTTTCCCTGCTGGCACTATTCCTTTACCGCGTGACTGGGCTACCCGCTTCTCCAAGGGCACAGACTGGTAGGTGCTCTGGTGGGTTGTCGTCATGTCATGATCACCTAGCAGAACAGAAAGCAATGTACTGCCCCATGCCGAGGGAGTGGGGGTTAGTCTTTGGAGGGGCTACCCCGTCTATAGGAGCAGGGTTTGGCTGGTTTGCCAGCCCTACTGAGAGGGGCTGCAGAAATCAAGAGCGTCCCCTGCCTTAGGCCAGATTAATAAATGATACATCTCACAGCGGGTCTCAAACTTGGACAGTAAACTCAGGCTAGAGCATGGGGAAGCTTTTCCCAGTTCTGGTTTGGAAAGTAGCCCAGGGAGAGCTCAGCCCAGGCTTTCCATGTCGTCTCAGCGCTCAGACAGCCCCATGGCTGGCAGCTGAGGGAGGACATGGAAACGAGCCCACCCAACCGGTGTGCTCAGCTCTGCCATGCTCGCAAGCCTCTGAAACTTTGTGCTGCTTCCTGTGTATGGCACAGCCCCATCCTGTGCTTCCGGCGTCGTATCATAACGCCTAGCCGTGACCAGCCTCCTGGGGTGTGTCTACACTGCAAGAGGCAGGGAGTCTCAGAGCCTGGGTCCTCAGGGCTGTGCTACAGTGCTAAGAATAACGTGGAGCTGTTCAGACTTGGGCTCAGAACCCCAGGGAATGGGGTGAGCGGCAGAGGTCGAGCTGCAAATTCCACACAGCTGTTTTTAGCACCTAACACGAGCCCCAGGCCGTAGACTTGCTGCTGATTGCACAGGGCCACTCAGAGTGGGTTCAGGCCCCGGTGAAAAAAAATTTTCAGGCCTCCCAGCAAGGGCAGACCTGCTAAACAGGGCCAACGAGGGGGGGGGGGAAGCCAGGCCCCGGGCCCCCTTCCAGACCACCAGGCCCTGGTAAGGCGACAGGGGGGAGGGGAGGAAGCCAGGCCCCGGGCCCCCTTCTGGGCCGCCGGGTCTCAGTAATTTGTACCAGCTTCCCGCCCCTCGTCATCCCTGCACTTGCAGTGTAGATATACTCCTACACCAGTGGCTCTCAACCTTTCCAGGCTACGGTACCCCTTTCCGGAGTCTGATTTGTCTTGCCTATCCCCAAGTTTCACCTCACTTAAAAACTACTTGCTTACAAAATCAGACACAAAAATACACGTGTCACAGCCCACTAGTACTGAAGAAGGGCTGACTTTCTGGTTTTTACCACTAATTATAAAATAAATCACTTGGAATATAAACATTGTACTTACATTTCAGCATATACACAGAGCAGCATAAACAAGTCATTGTCTGTCTGACATTTTAGTTCATACAGACTCCACTAGTGCTGTTTACGTAGCCTGTTGTAAAACTAGGCAAATCTCTAGAGGAGCTGATAGACCCCAAGACCTCAGCACCCCCCTGCTTGAAGACCTCTGCCCTAGACCAGCCGTTCTCAACCTATTTATCTCTGTGGGCTGCATCCAATACTACCTGTATGGCCCTGAGGATGTCACATGGGCTGCAGCTCGGTGCTGATTGGGCCACAGGCTGAGCATCACTGCCCTAGACTGTCTCACCTGGGGAGCCGCTTGCGCTAGAGGAAAAGGGCCCGGTCACGGGCTGGCCCTTTAAGGAGAGCGGGGCTGAGCCTTGCTGTGACCTGGCAGCTGAAGGTGATGTGGAGGCGAGGCCAGTGACTGGTCCCAGCTGTGGGGGGGACTGGAGCTGGCTGTACAGAGAGCAGAGAACGCAGTCGGGAGGAACCCAGGAGAGAGGAGCTGGGACAGGCTTGGCAAGGCAGCTGCGAGAAGGGCCCGGAGAAAGGCGGTAGCTGGGGTGAAGCTGCCTGCAGCCCTTCAGGAAGAAGGTAGGCACGAGCGCTAACCAGCGGTGGGCCCAGGAGGCGCTAGCGGGCCTGGGGAGGGGGTTCTAACCCCGACCAGGAGGATGTTGTTATGCACTGATGGGGGGGACAGGCCTGTGCCCCGCAAAGGTGGTTAGAGCAGGGGTTCTCAAACTGGGGGTCAGGACCCCTCAGGGGGTTGTGAGGTTATTACATGGCGGGTTACAAGCTGTCAGTCTCCACCCCAAACCCTGCTTTGCCTCCAGCATTTATAATGGTGTTATAAATTAAAAACACTTTTTAAGGGGGGGGTCGCTATTTGAAAGGGGTCACCAGTACAAAAGTTTGAGAACGACTGGGTTAGAGGGCTGCAGAGGGAGGGTGAGCGGACTGAAGCAATAAGACCAGCAGGGCGGTGCTTGAAACGCTCGCGCGTGTTGGAGAGGGGATTGCTAAGACGCCAATAGCGAATGGAACCCAGCGTGGGCGGCTGCGTGCTGCCGAGCCAATGCGGGGGCAGCCCTGCTTCCGGGCCCATGTGGATGTGGGGCTGGAAGCTTTCATCCTCTCTGTTACCTTCAATGGTGAGCTGAGCCTGGAGGCCTTTGACCAGCTCCGGTTTGGGGATGCGTTTCTCAGTGAACTCTCGCTGCGTGGTGCTTTCCATCTCGGCTGCCCGGTCAGGGGACAGGAGAGCGCCTAGGGTGGAGAGAACGGGGCTGGTGCTGCTCAGTGTTCCCAGCATGTCAGGCTGAAGCCCGGGCTTCGGGCATGTTCCCGGGCACAGAGCCCAGCATAACCCAGCCCCGCTTCAGGCACTGTGGGCCCGGTGTCTGGCATTGGCGAGCCCCTCCTGGCTCCCGTAGTGCCGGTGAGCCCTCAGGGCACTATCAGGATCCAGGACTCAAGGATGGGGCACATGGAATGGGGGCATCCCAAGTTAATGAAGCCCCTTTGGCCGATCTCAGCCTGGGGGCGGGTCCCAGCTGTACCTGCCAGGGCTGGCGGTTCTCCATAGCAGGCTGGGCGTTCCGCTCGCCATCCTTTGTAGCTCTCCTTGGTGGTGGTGGTGTGGGGGAAGCCGGAGCTGTAGGGCTGCCTGGGAGTCGGGGGCCGCCGGAGGGTGGTCACGACCGGCTCCCTGGGTGGGAAGTGGAGGCGGTACAGACTCTGGCTTTGAAAGGGCTCCTGTGGGCACTGATACGCCTCCTGCAAAACATGACCGCCCCGTGCCCTGGGCTAGAGAGGTCAGCCTGTCTCCTCCCCGTGGGGCGGCTGGGCCCACGCCGCTCCCAGGGAGCAACCCATGGCGCTAACCCTGGCCAGTGGAGAGCAGGCAGCGCAGCCCCCGTTGGTGCTGACTGGGTTCCAGAGTGCCCAGCCGCAGAGGGCACCTCCCCACATGAGGGGTGACGGGTGGGTTAATTCACAGAGCCCCCGCGGCCTGCAGGCCTTGCCATGGCAGGTGTGTGAGTGGGGTAGAGCCCTGGCCTTCTCCACGGGGGCGGGTGGGGAGAGAGGGGTTCTCCTTTCTCCCTCGAGAGAGGGGGATGGCAGGAGCCTAGCCTGGATCGGCTGCGGTGCTGGCGTTACCCGGACATGCGGCTTGGTCCTCTGGCCCGGCTCCCAGGGAATGAACTCTGCCCGCTGCGTGGTGTTGAAGGCCATGGCCGGGGGGTTGGGGTGTGGAGGGGTGCGGAGCGGCCTCTTGCTGCTTCGAGGATGCACGTCTGGAGGGGAGGAAGAGTGAGGCGGTGACCGGGAGGCGCACGGGGCATGTGTAAAACACTCCCAAGGGAGGCTGCTTTGGTTCCCCTCGCTTACTTGGCGGCTGGGTGTAAGTTGCCTTGTAATGGGACAGCTGGGGCCTCCTGCAGTCCTGAGGCGCTGGCCTGCTCCGCTTCTTGCAGTTCTTGTGGCGCTTGTGTCGACTGAGCGTGACAGAGAAGCAGCTGAGAGAGAGAAACCGAAACCGGGCTCCCCTCCCCTCTGGGAACATTCTCCACATCCAGCCCGCGTGCCGCAGGGGAGCCGTCAGAGCCAGGGGAGGGGACCGCCAAGGCAGCCGGGTCTGCTCGCTGGGAGCTGTGTGCTGGGCAGTCGGATGATGGCGGCTCTGCAGCTTTCAGGGCCCCTGAGAATTGCTCCCCTCTACCTGGCGTCTCTCAGAGCTTCTGGGGAGACGGATGCAATTGGTAGGAGGAAGAGATACCTCCACCACAGGAGGTAGGAGCTGGAAGCTACCAAATACTGTGAAATGACCCCCCCTGCCTGCTATTACCCAACTCCCGCTAGCAACATGGCTCAGGGCATGGCTGCAGGTCCCTGTCATGCTCTGTAAAGAGGTGGTTAAAACCTGTAAGTCCCCAGGGACGTGGGTAAACACTCCAGAATATATCCATGCACACGCACGTGGAGGGTCTGTGGGGCAGAGACTTTCTCATGCCTCTAGGTACCACAGCAGTACAAGTGATGATAGCTCTTTCTAAAACGGCTCCATGCGAACGCAGAGAGAAAGAGACCTAGAGCGAGAGAAATAGAGCAGGCGGGTGTCATTCTCCGTTGCCCATGACTTCTAGCCCGCCTGCCCAGCTCAGTGCCAGCAGCTTTTGCTTAAGATCAGGTCTGGTGTGTGTGGAGGGGAGAAAGGCGAAATGAATCCAGTCTTGCTCTAGAAGCCTTAAGCAAAAATAAATAAGGGTGTGTGTCTGTCTGTGCCTGTTCGAGCGCTCACTTACCCGCAGTCGCACAGTTCACAGAGACAAGCAAACTGCAGGGATTCCATCTCCCAGGCTTTGTGGGTCAGGCGGGCGGAGGGAATCTCTCCGCCCCGTGAGAGGCAGTGTCTGGTTCTGGAGACGACGGGCTACGGGGCTGGCAGTATGGACCCAGGAGCGCTCCGAGCAGCTACTTCTGGGCTCCAAGGAGTCTCCGTTTGGGCTGAGCTCAGGGGTTTAGTGTGTGTTGCAGGTTGCTATGGTTCCTGGTCTCCTGCCTTTCACCCAGGGGTGATTTGAATGTGAATGGCGCTCTAGCAACCCCACGAATGCCAGGTTACCAGGAGCTTAGAGGAGGGGAGGGTGCTGCGTTTCCCAGGCTAGGTTTGTAACTGACAGAGGATTAGGAGCAGCAGGGGCTGTCCGCAGGGCTGCTAACAACCAAGGGAAAGTACACAACCCTCTGGCAGGGGACAGTCACTCGCAGGCTGGGGCCCCGAGGTCCTGGGTGCTGTGCACACCTGGTGAGCTCTGCGGAAGGGACTGTCTGCATAGTGAAAGGGTGGGAGGGGAAAACAGGCCCAAAGAGAAGTGACTTGCCCAGCAGAGCTGGGTTTAGACCCAGGGCTGCTGACTCCCAATCCAGGACCTTCCACACGGCCTCTCTAATGCTAGTTAGAACGTCCCACAGGCTTGGGGGACTCTGGATCGCCCCGGCCAGTACTGTTCAAGGCAGTCTGCACAGTGCCTGGCATCTCTAGAGCCAGCTCTTTGGCATGGCAGCAGGAAGCTGCCTGATCCGGCCAACCGCTACGCTGGGGCCGGAGCTGCTGAGGAACCGTTCAAGGCTGAAGTCGCCACCAACAAGGAGCAGGCCAAGCCAGCGCCAATTAGCTGAGAGGCCAATCAGCATGTTAATTGAGTGTCATCAGTCATTTAATTGTTCGAAGCACTGTTTCATTAACAAGTTGAATGGTCCTGGCAGATGTTAATGGAACAATGCAGAAGAATCTGCTTCTCGCTGGTTAATAAGGGGGTAACTGCGCAGTAATTGGAGACAATTAACTGGCCACTGCCTGTGTGTGTGTGAGAGCCATCTCAACAAGCCAGTTCTGCTTGTAGAGAGAGCTCTGGTGCTGTGGGAGGCTCTCCAATACCCTGGTGAGGGGCATGGTATAAACCCGAACAGACTGTTACTATTAAAGAGACATGTACCTTTTTGAACCTAAAAAGCCCTTTTAAAATACAGGTATTAGCAGCATCACCAGCCCAAAGGGTTCACAAATCATGAGTCAGGGTCCAAAAACCCATGAGATTGGATTGCAGGTAACAAAGGTTATCCCATGAGCAATAGGAATTTAGCTTTCTTTCTTTCTTAAAGTGAGATCCTTGGCTAATAACCTGACTCCCAGGCTTGGGACTTTTACTAATAAATTTACAGTGTTGCCAACTCTCAGATTTTTATCATGAGTCTTACAATATTTGCTGTTCTACTTAACTGGACTGGATCCTAGAACAAACAGAACAGAAAACCATTCCTTTCCAGCCCTGGAGACTTGGCCAAGTTGAACATAGGTCGTCTCTCTCCTTCTTCCCACCCTTTTGAGCCCAGTCCCTCGGGAGTTTACCAAACTCCCAGCAAAATGCATTAAAAAACCCCAAGTTGCCTTGGGAGCTGTTCTCTTACGAGTCCCGTGAAGGTGAAGGAGCAGTTCAGTCCTGCTGACCTGCCCAGGGCTGCCCACCCTGCTCCTGTAATGATGTTTGGTGAGCCTGTGTCTATATAACTTACTTGCTGTTGTGACTTGATCCTGCACAAAGTGTAATGGGGTCAGTCGTCCCCCCCCCACCCACTCCCTGCTGCAGGAAATACCCAATTCCAGCTGCACAAAGAGACACATCTCTGCTTTAATTTCAGGCCCTCTCAGGGCTGAGGGAGAATGTCAGTCTCACTTCCCAGCTTCTGTCTGACTTGTTTGGCTTTCTAAGCATTTCTGAAACCAGTCCTGGCTGCCCAGTAGCCAGGCAGGATCCTACACTAACCAACGGGGGTTGCTGTATAACAATAACAGCCCCACAATAATAACCCCCCCACACACACACGCAGCCCAGCCCTCGCAAGCTGCTGTGCGGTGTGCATGGCCCGTCAGCAGCCCTACAGCCAACCAGCATGTGATGCGAGAGGGACAGGACACATTTCAAGTGATGACTCAAGTATTAAATGATGCAGCCAGAAAAACCAGGGAAGCCCCTGAAATCTCTCTGGACTCCAGCTGGCTTTGTGACCAAGGACTAGTTCCCTCGTGGCGCTCTCTCCCCGGCACTGAAGAATTGGCCTCACTAGTTGTTAATTCAGGTGCTGAAACTAAAGGCTGGGGCTGCTGCAGGGCTCAGTGACTATATCTCATGGCAGATCAGGGGCCCGGAGGGGGATCGCTCCGCCCGCAGGCCAGGCTGAGCTGGGGAGGGGAGGGAGGGATATTGCACTGAGAAGTGGACAGTTGCTGCCTGAGGGGTTTCCAACATGTGCATAGGCCTGTCCCATCACCTTTCTCAGGCTGTTATGGTGGGGGGGGGGGGGGGTTGACCCCAGGGTGAAGCAAGGCACAGGAGGCCCCATGCAACTCCTACCCCAGACAGGAGCTCAGGAGGGGGCATTATCCCATCGTGGGGGGAAGTGCTGACAGCAAGGGGCCCTGCCTGTTCCGAAAGCCTCCGTCGGGATGGGGATCCCCATTCAAACACTTCAGATGCATCCTCCGAGCCCAGTGCGCTGTGCTTGGGGGGGCTGCAGGACAAGTGGAGCATGCATTGCTCCTCTGGGCCAAGCGCTCTCCTGGCTGCTTTTGGGGGGTGAGGAACCCTGCTCTCCGCCCCCCCCCCCACTGGGTTCCTTTCCCCCAGAGAAAGTGAAACCGGCTGCTGCAGGGAGGTAGGGGTGTGTGTGTGTGTGTGTGTGTGTGTGTGAGAGCGAGCACCTGAGGCCTCTGCTCCCTCTGAGCCGGGATGGGGCTCCTTGAAGCCCGGTTCCCTCTGGGACCCATATCAATGCTCAGTCTCCGTGAGCCCCACGTGGCTCTTGCCAAGTAGCCCATGCCCCAGTTATTGCACTGGGCGGTTTCCCTCACAGATGACCTTGACTCCCCATGCTGGAGGCGGGTCGCCTGAGCGGGCTCCCCGCTAATTAGCTAGTGGTGCAGAGCTATATAGCCTCAATAGGCGAAGTGCTGCGGGCAGCCACCAGAGGGCACTGTGACACCAGCTATCCGTGCCCTGGGCCTGCAAGGGGCTGGGAATGGGGGGTGACTGAGAGTCTGTCATTGCAGCCCTGGCCCCTTGGCCCCACTGGCGTGGAGCGTCTCACCAGCCCCAGAGCCGCTACTTGGGGGTGGAGGTCACAGCTCCCCCGTGCAGGGCGGCCAGGTCCCACGGCACCATGGGCCTTTCCCCAAACACCTGGCATGACGTTATTTAAAAATACGACTTCCAGGGCCCTGGTGTCCAGCGTTTGGCCGTCCTGCGAAGGACTGAGGGGGCTTTATAGGCTTTCACCTCCTGGGCATTATCTCCAATTTAGAGATGGGGAAACTGAGGCACAGAGTAGTGGTCTGCTTGGGCCTGACCTGGACCTAAGCCCACCTGAGCCTGAGGGGGTCGTGAGTTGCTCCTGGGATCGGTGCGGCTGTGTGCCCCGCTCCCTCCAGAGCGAGAGGTGCTGCCGTTCCGGCTTTTAGTGTTTAGCTTTAGCTTTTAGTGTTTCTTATGCTCCCTGCCAATCTCCCCTTGCCCCTCCTGACTGGTTGCTTGACCTTGGCTTGAGAAAGGAGCCAGGCAGCCTGTCATTGTATGCTCATATTACACTCCCACCATTCCCTGTAACACTTTAGTTCTATCCCTTATCACTTCCCATTATCCTCCCATGGTCAGGAGGAGGAAAGCTACCCTAAGAGGGTCTGGTTGTTTTCTCGCCCAACTCAACACTTGTGGCTGGGTTCAGGTCAGGTCACAGGGTTCTAGCACAGAGAAGGGAAGTGACTTGTCACCTAGAAAATCAGTGGTGAAGCCAGGGCTAGAACTCAGGAGTCCTGACTCAAGGCTTCCCACCAGCCCTCAGACCAGTCGTGCCTGACCGCTGTAAGTATCCATACACCTTCTGTGCTGGGAGGGGCAGCAACGGGCTTCCAGCGCTCTGGCTTCTCCTTGTGACCCTCTTCCTGCATGAGCACGAAGCTGTTGCCCGAGAGCTGCCAGGCAGGAGTGGTGGAGGTTCACGGCCCTCCCAGGAGACTTTCACTCCCCTAACATATTACCAGGTAGCTGACATCACAGGTCATTTACCTTCAGAGAGTGAAAAACTCCCGCCTGACAGTGTCAT